CACTAACTACCCATTGTTTGGTTTTAATTTCAACTTAAAATACCATTATTCAATATGTACGTTTTTCAATAAATATACATATATATTTATAAATATTGGGCAAAATTACCTATATTTTCTGTAGTTTGGAAATTCGGCGTCATTCCCCCTATATTTAAAAACGGCGTGGTTCTCCCATGTGTTTTCAGAAACACAGAACTGTGGGAGGTTTGATCTGACCGACGAATTGGACAATGCCAAGAGTAAACGAGTAACTGAAACTATGGAAGAGTTAGACTCAGAGTCTGAGTTCTCGGAGAATATAAGGGAGAACCACGCAATTTTTAAAGTATAGTGGAATGTCGCCGAGTTTTCAAACCACATGGGAGATATAGACAGATTTGCCTAAATATTATATTAAAATGTTAAATATGTTTGATTTTGATTTAAACTTTAATATATTGATAGTATAATATTTTATGAAATAAAATAATTATTTTTATTTAAAAATGTACATTTTGAATTATGTTGAAATAAGTTTTAAATTATAACCAAATACACTTTGTTTAACCAAAACTCGATTAAAATAGCTCTACTCAAAAACAAAAACCAAAACTCATTATTTATTTATACTCAAAAGTATTTTAAAATTATATTATAATAAAAATAATTACACACTTCCACAAACAATAAAATTTTATTCTTTTAATTTTTTATAAAACTCCATTAATCCATGTAAGTGGACGAATAAAGTTTTTTTTTTTTAAAAAAAAATATATATTATATTGTATATTTATTTTATATGTAATGTATTGTATTTAAACATAACTTTTAATCAAAATATTACACAATAGACTTATTCATGTATCATCAAACAATTATTATTATTGTTAAAACATATAGTATATTTGTTTTGTGAAATAATTTTAAGCATAATTTTTTGTTGTGAGGTATGATAAATTGTGTAGGAAATATATGAATGTGTATAATATATTAATATTTTTGAAAAAATATATGCATTCTTTTATTAAAAGAACACACGAGTTTATTTGATTTTAATTTAATTTTAAAATTTTAATTTGTATTTTAGTTTAAATAATATTTGATGTAATTTCTATATATATATATAAACTAGTAGTATATTTTTTAAAAATCGTGTAAGTTGAGAAAAAAAAAATATTTCCTTGGTCGCAGATAAATATATATGTTTGGTGTTTGGTAGTAAATTGAAAAATAATAATATTTTATTAGTTAGTCGAAATATTTAACATATTTTAAAAATTTTGTCCTACTTTATGTATAAAGTAATTGTATGTATAATAATATATTTTTAGTTTAAGTAAAAGTCGAAGGTATTTTAGTATTAATATATGATTACTTTTACTAAAATAGAAAATAAATACTTTTGAATAAAACAAATCAAAATGATAAAAAATACACTTTGAATTGGAACGAAAAACTTATGAATTTCAAATCCAAACTAAACATATTTATAATTCCTCACAATAGTTTTACAATTATGAATTATGAAAAATAAAATTCCACTGAATATGATGCGCGCCGAATTGTAAATTTATATACAACCATATTCTATGTAACACATTCGTATTTGATCTGACTAAGTCATCATGTCACCTTTCGTTATAGACACGTCATCAAGTTGAACTTTTAATATTGAGACAAAAATGATGATATTTTTTTTTTGTGAAACTTGTTTTGATAAAATAATTTTGAATATGACCAAAAATAAATTTCATTACTATTATTGATTTTTGCTCTATATTATATAAATACATATTATATTTTTTTAATAATATTACTCAAAAATCGTGTAAGCAAAAACTTGGTGAATAAACACACTCACTATTTATTCACTATGAAATTTTTAAACTAGATTTGTATTTATTTCTTTGCACTGCTAGAAAAAATATTGACAATGGCAAAAATTTATTGTATATTTTAATTTATGACAATTAAAAGTTATTAAGAGTAACTTTGTGACAAATTTATATCATAATTTTTTGTTTTGACTGTTACGTGGATAATATTTGTATAAAAAGTTATAAGTAATTTTCCGTAACTATTTTAAGTAATGACTTATGTAACAAAAATATCCAAGATATTTTATATTCAGTGTCTTTTGACTATTTTGTCATAAAAATTGTACGAAATATTTTCGTGACTACCTTAAGTTGCGGCAAAAATAAGCAAAATATTTGCGCACTTTCGGATAGCGGCTGCAGATTCCTACCTTATAAACAAAATAAAAATAAATAAATAAATAAAATATTTGCAACATTTAAAATTATTGGAGATGTTGTCATAGTGTAAATTCAGTGACTTTTGACTTACTTTTTAACTCAAAAGTCACACCATAAGTAACGAAAACAATCATAAATATTTTTTTGTTATCGTTCTTAGCTATTTAATGTAAGAATAAAATAATAAAATCATCTTCAATATCTTTATTTTTTATTTTTATTTTTATTTTAATTAAATAATTTGTTTTTTAAGTATTTATGACTATTCAAAACAATAACGTAAATATAAAAATATTAACAGAATCTTATCTATATTTACTTTTATATAAAAAAACATTGTAACTATTTATGATTATATTATAAATAATTTTATTTAATTTTTATTCTACTTAATTAATATATATTAAATTAATTTATTACAAATATTAACGTAACCAAATATTTAATTATTTATAATTACTATATCCATAATAAATTTAAGTATTGTTAACTTTAAATTTTTAATTGATATATTTTTTAAAAAAATAATTGAGTTTAAAAAATAAAAATATTTGATTGACAATAGATGAAATTCATGAAGTTTTGATATTAAAAAATACTATGTTAAATAAATGTAATAATTTTTTTTATATTAAATAGACAATATCAAATTTGTGTTAAAAATTCAGGGTGATTTATTAAATAAATATGTATGTAGTGCTAAAAGATGAATTTATAGCCAATAATATTTATATAGTTAAAATATAATAATAAATAAAAATAATATTTTAATGATATTATTTTGTAATTTATTGTAACTACTTCAGTTGCTATATAGTGTCCTAATATTATTTATAATTTATTGTCACAAAAATATCATCAATTTAAAAAAAAAAAATCACCAACGAAATTTCACGGATATGACTCCGTATATTTTTTTATGGCTTTATAGTAAAAAGTCACTAATTTTTTTTATTTATTAAAATCGTGATTTTTTTACCACAATTTTAGCCCAATTTTTTGGTAGTACTGACAAAATATATCCCGTATATTTGCAAAAATCGTTATTTATATCATTTGGGTGCGCGTGATATTCATACAACAGTAGTACCTCGCGCGGCCAAAGGAAATAAATGTTATTTTTGTAAACTTATAAGATATACTATTTTGTGAGCGAAATAAATAAATGATAAATGCAACAATAAAGTATACATGAAGAATATGTTTTGCAATTTTTCTCAATTAATTCCTCAAGGTATGCCTATTTGTGGGGGGTTTTTGGTTGAGTTTTACAATTTTTTTTTTTTAATAAAAATATTCAATTAAAGACTACTTATTTTTATTTATTATACTATATTAAAATTTGATTTATATGCAAAATATCATATTAATATATATTGTATCACATCGAATAATTATTAGAATTTAAAATTTGCTATTTAAAAAATTAGATTCACAAACGGTCGTTATTTATGACAGAAATGACAATTTTGCAAATATGTAGTATATATTTTGTCAGTGAGATAAACAAATAATAAAAATAATAATGCGGTATATGTGGAAGATATTTTTTACAATTTTACTTATAAAGTGATGTACTGATATGAAGTGAACTCGTTACCGTAAAATTATTGATTTATACTCCTCACTGCGTAAACCCCTTGACACCCCGTAATAATGATAAATATGAAAAATGCATAAGAAATTAAAAAAAAAAACTAATGAAGTATATAATTTTTAATTAATTTGTTTGTATAGTGATTTAGTTTGATTATTTTTTCAATATATATTATATGTTCTACCTTTGCCATCAATATTTTTAAATAGAATGTGTTTGGTATAGAAAATAAAATTGTAAAAAAATAATAATATATATTAGTAAAAAATGAGAAATATTATTTTTTATTTGGTAAAACAAAGAATTCAAATAAAAATGTAAAACAATCCTGCGATTAAGATAAATTGATCAATAGAAAATAATGAATAAGTAAAAAAATATATTTAGTAAAATACTTTGTCTATTTATAGTTTTATTATCCATGACAAAATTATTTTATAATTTTACTAATAAATAAAATATTATTATTTTAATCTACTACAAAATTTCAAATAACTTTCGAATTTAAATAAATTCCTGAAAGAAAGAAATATATATTGCATATATATATAATTTTTTATAATAGGACTCCATTGTTCACTCAAGATTTTTTCAGATCATCTCATTTCATCTTTTTCAAGTAAAATTACATTCCACGTAATAAATTTTTTTTCTACTTTATCATAATATCATTATTTTTTTTATAAAAAATAAAATAAAATTATTTTTACATATATTATTTGTATTATATTTTAATAAAATATTGATATACCTAAATATATATGTCAAAAGTAAAACTATTGAAACAAAACTTTATCCGTCATTCAAATCTATACTCACTTTTTTTTAGATTGTCATCTAAAAATATTCTCATTTTCTTTTTAAGTAAAAAATCATTCAAACTTGTGTACTATTTTTTACTATAAAAAAAAAATTAACAATTATTATTTATTTTTATTTAAATTTATACCCGATCGAATCAGCACATATTTGCATATATGAATATTAAAAATAGAAACACACACTCATTCTTCTTTGGCTAAAAAGTAATTATAATTAATTTTTATGATAAGTATTTATTTTTTCGTTTTCGGGGTTGGCGCGTTGGGTTGATTAAAATATTGACAATTAATTCTATTTTCAATTAATATAAAAGTATATAAAAACTAAAAAAGAATGACAAAGGCAAACTGGTAAAGGAGTCATTCCACATTTCCGCTCCCCTCTGTACTGCGGAAGGAAGACTGCCTTCCCCTTCCCAATAATCTCCCCTTCTCTCCTTCCCCAAAAGCTCTTGCCAGAATTTATTCGATTTTGTCGCCTCTGTATTTGTTTATGTTGATGTTTCTCCATTCCGAACTCGCTCAGGTATGTGAATTCTCTCTGAGGTGCTTATTTATTCATTTTGAGCCGCGATTTTTGGCTGTTCTGACTTTTCGGAACGAATCTGATGCTGTTGTTATTATTATTATTTATTTACAATTTTATCTCTTGTGATTTGCTTTTAATTCCAGGAACTCGTGTTTATTTCTGGCTTTGTTGCGGGTTAGGTTGAGAACGGATTGGCGGTGGAAGCGGCGCCTTGATTAATTTTGTAAGAATCATCTTATTGCTTGTCGAGCTTAGTTTTTTATTCGCATTTGTTTTTGTGCAGGGAAAGTGTTCTAATTTTTTAATTATTACTATTATTTTTTTTTTTATTTTATTTTATTTTATTTTTTTTTTCTGATTTAACTTGCGAGTCTTTACAATTAATTACTGAAATGCATTGCCGAGAGGAAAAAAATGATGGAATTTGATTCTTTCTTGTGTAGGATGTAACTCATTGTGGAACTACTTAGGTTTTTTCTTTGATTTAATGATTTTTTTTTCCTGGTTTGTGGACTTCAATTCTGCACGAGATGCTTTGGGGGTGTGCTTGGATCTAAGATTAGGAGTTAAGTTTGGGATTTAGAATATTAAAGTTTTGAATTGGAGGTGTTCTATGTGAGATAAATAGATGTTATATTTGAGGTTTTGAATGAAAAATTAGAATTTGATATTTTAACATTTAAGCATTATATTATACTTCATCCGTTTCATAACTATGTATTCATATGTTAGTATTATATTGGGGATATAGTAGGAATAAAATAGAAATGACTAAAATAATCTTATTAGTATTGAGTGATATAAAAGTAATGATATTTGTGTAATATATTGTAAATTGTAAGTGTATTTGTAATGTTAGATAGATAGTACAATTACTATAAAAATAATAAAAAATATATATATAAAATTACATTAATTTTCTCATAATATAAACAACAAAAATAAATATTTTAATAATTGAAAAGAGTGAAACTGGGAACTGGCCACAAAACCACGGCCGAACACAGCCTTGGGTTCGAGGCAGCTATTTGAAGCTTTTTGGTTATTGTTTGTTTGTGTTTTAAGTAATGGTTGAATGTGATGTATTTCAAGAAAAAATTGTATATTTTGTGAAGGAGAGTAAAGATTGCATAATTTGATAAACTCTAACTCAGTGTATTTTATGCAGTTGATTGCTTAAAATATGTAGTTGATTGCTTAAAATTTGGGGAAGGGCTCCAACCTACCCCCAAATTCCCTCGTAATTTTGGGATTTTGGGGTTATTTACAGTGTTACTCAATTTTTGGAATAATACTGTACTTCAATTCTATTTTTTGGAGTGGAGTTTTTCATGGTATTTTGTGATGTTGTGTATTTTTGTTATTTTTGGGATGTATGTGTAATTTTATTTTTTAAAAATACATATAAATTATATTTATGGATTATAATGTAAAAATAAATTAAAGTTTGAGTGTAATTTATAAATATAAAAAATTATATCAAATAATATAAAGAATGATACATAGAGAATATAATTTTTAAAGTAAATTAAAATTTATGGTTGGTTGAAATAAAATTAGTGTAGATAAAATGCATTTTACTGTAACTAAAATGTTGGAGATGATCTAAATAAACTGTAACCAAACTCAAGACCACCAAAGCAAGCATAGTCCAAGATTTTATTTTATATATATATATATATATATTTACCTGAGAGATTTTGCTTTTGGGTGTTGGTTTTGAATAGTAAATTTTAAATTAAAATAGTTGTTTGAAGTAATATAAATATGTATTGATGTGATACTTTTAATGTAAAATTTAATTTTAATGTAATATAATGATTAAAAAATAAGTATTTGCTTTAATATTTTTTTTGAAGAAAAAAAAATTGGAATAGTAAAATTTAAAATCAAATCACATAAGTAAACACGGCCGTAATGTTTTGAAAATATAATTTTTTACATTGAAAAAAAATATAAGAAATTGTATGATAAAGAATAATGTTTTGAAAATAGAATTTTTTGTATTGTAATTACAATACAAAAAATTCTATTTTCAAAACATTACATCCAAAGCCACTATCCACAAATTAAAACTAAAAAAAAAAAAAAAAAAAAAAAAAATCAGATTTAAGGTAAATGATCTTGGAGTTTGTTTGCGTAGTATTTTGGGTTGAGATTTTTTTTATATATAAAATATAAAAAATTCATGTCGGTGATATAAATAATATTTTATTTTGACTTGAGACGTTTAATCCCCACACCACCAGACCATCCATTAAAAGACCTTTGCTAGCTGTTTTGCTCACACCTGAATGTGTGTGTAAGTAGGTGTAGTGTTGAGTTTTGTGTTTTTTAGCCGTTTATGGAGGGTTTGTTTGGTTTGGTTTCAAATTGATTTGAAATGAATTTGAATTTTTGTTTAGATAATATTTTATAATAAAAAATAATATATTTTTATTGAAAAATATACGAGATTAGTAAAGAGGTTCGTGTTTGAATAATTAAACAAACCCCAATATTTGGGTTTGAATATTACCTTGTGTTCATTTTGATGTTTGGATTTAGATCTGGGTGAATAATATTATCTTATTGTATTAAAGCTATATATATAATTAAAGGCCATTAGAATTAGGCTAATATATAGAAATATTAATACAATCCATAGGCCTACTATTATTTAATCATACTTATTAAATTATCTAAATTATTCTTATCTTTGCACATTTAGACATATTTTATATAAATATAATAATAATATTTTTGTTTAATATATTTTGATTTCATTTAAAATATAATTTATTTATTTATTTAAATTTTTAATCAATAATATAAAGTGATAAGAATGCTATAAAATAGTACTTTTTCTGTCCTATATATATGTATTCATTTATTTTTTGCACGGAGTTTTAGAAATATTATTATTATATTGGGATAAAGTAGAAATAAAGGTAAAAAAATTAAATTAATCCTATTAGTATTGTAGGATATAAACGTAATGATATTTGTATAATATATTGTAAATTGGAAGGGTATTTGTAATGTTAGGCAGGTAGAACTTAAAAAAAAAAAAAAAAAAGGATAAAGGTAATAAAAAATATATCAAATTATATATATACATATTATATTGTGAAAATATTACAATTACATTTTAATATTGTTGTATGAGTATTATATTAGAAGAAAGTATAAAATAAATTATATTACAATAATTTATAATAAGATTATTAAGAGTATTTTAAGTAAGAAAAAATAATTATACCGTTTAATTTTTTTTATAAATATTTTTAATGAAAATATTTTTGAATTTTTTTTAATTGGTATTTTTAATATAATAATTAATAGTATTTAAAAATAATACACAAATATAAATATTATATTAATTAATCTATTGATTATATAATTTATTTAAATAATTTGATTATTATAATCTATTATTTCAAGGTAAATATAATATATAAACTAAACATAATATATTGTATTATATTAATACATGTGAATTATTATAATATATATATATATATTGTATTAATATATTTATTTATTATATTTTTAAAAACTTGAAAGTCACCCTTACATTTTTCCACAAATAAAACCCTAAATTTTCATTTTTGCGTCTGCCCCGGAGTCTTCCTCCTCCTCCCCAGCTTCGTCGTCCACTCTCGCCGTTGTCTTCCTTTCCCTTTCCCTCCCCTCTCCATCTTCGTCGTCCTATTTGTGGTGAAGAGGTCGTCTGCTGCGGATTTCGCCTCCACCGTCCTTGTTATCTACCCACATCATTTTCCTCGACCTCATCTTACTGCGATCACCACAGCGACGCCAGTGATGGTGGTGGGGGGCTCGATGAACGGCTCTGTCCGGAGATTTACAGGCCACCATGGCCTACGGGGTTGAATTGTGGTAGAAGACCAATGCAAAGCCTGGATCGTCACCTTCTGGTTAAATTTCCGCCGCTACGATAGCTTTCATCCTCTGCTCTGTCTCCGAAGGTCTTGAGGTGGGAGAGGCATTGGGGGAGGTCATTGGTGGTCTCGGTCAATACTTGTTGCGTAGAACAAGCAAGACCGACAAAGGTGAGTACTTTGTCAGGCCTTCTCTGATACACCATATAGGGAGAGGGAGGTTTGCCGGTAATTAGCCTTGGTTTCCCAGTTAACAACGAGCGCACAGTGATGAAACACGTTGTTGGTGTTGTGGAATAAAGTGTGGTGGATAAATTAGGTCTCTTTATTATTAACAATTTACCATTATTTGTGTAGATTTTTTTAGAACACAAATGAGTTGTCTGTATGGTTTCGTTAGCAGTATAGAATACCTTTGCTTGTTAATTGGTGTATAAGATCCAGGTTTAAACCCAATACAACTTTTAAACTCAAGATGGCATTTGCATTACCAAAGGCCAGGTTTGTCTTGATTAAATTAATTGGTTTCTTACATCCATGTTTACTGAAACAGGTTTTTGGTCTCCTTGTTTGGTCGGAACTCAAGGACCTATGGTAGGCATTTTACTAAACCCTTTTTCTGTTCTATCAAATTATTGACATCTGCGTTTGATGCTTGCTGAAATATTTATAGTGTTTTCTATTAGTTTTATCCTATTTATTTACCAGGGTGCACTTGCTTGATGTTCACAAGCAGGATGCAAATGCCTCTGGGGAGAACTATTTGGATGTTGATTGGAACACGGATGATGAACTGGAAATTTTTGGAGAAGCAGGGACATCTGCTCATCCAGTTGCAACTTATAGTACTGAAGCTGTTGTTGACACTGGGGAGGTAACATGATAGGTTTATCTAGTTTGACTTGCTTTTAGTTACAATAATGTTTGGTTGATGCCTCTCGTGACTCTAAATACTATTCGCTAATTGTTCACTTTATTTCACTAAAACTTGTGAATTTAGCTCCTTTAGCATTTTTATCCCTGTGTCTGCTTTTCAATATCCTGACTGAGTTTTGTATCTATTGACTTTATGCAAGTTTATAAGATCCTAAACTTCTTATTCTATAATAAAAAATGAGAAAATGACTTGAGTGTGTTTGTTTGTGTTTTTGTTTCCATTTTGGTACCATGCAATCTGTAGTGAAATAATTTTTCTGCTAAAAATTAACATCTAAAACTTATTTTTCATTACAACAGTTTTAAATCCAAAACATCTTAAAACACAGAACCATGTATAGCACAAAACTGGGGTCAATATGTCAGTTATTGTCTTGTTTAATTGCTCTGAAGTACATAAATTTGAACCATGAATAGTTATGGTGGAGCTTCTGTTTCTTTATAATAGATGTTTGTTTGTATTTACTGAAGTGTTTTCATTATTCATCTACATATATATATATATATATATTTCAAAAACAATTCACATCAAATACTTATGTTATTTAAAATATTATATTCAAAATTTATATTTTATTCAAAACATCATATCGAACGACTATTTCATTTCTAATTTTTTACTATTGCATAATCAATTAAACACCAAAACACAGCTTTCTTTTTTTTTTTTTTGACATGCAAGGGGAGTTGGATGGAGGAAATAAGGCTGTTGAAAGTTAAAGGGAAAATATTCTATTGTTTTTTTAGTACAATTAATATTTAAAGTTCAATTTGTTAGTATACATGTATGCTTATCTCTAATGATGTAATTGGAATATGGAGTGATTCAATTATGAGTATGTGTATATGTGTGTTTGTGTAAAAGAAAAAAAAAAGAATAATGAAGTGTTTTATGCTTGGGAATTGTTATAAACTACAACTAAATCATAGCTACTGATTCTGATTACCACCTTTACTTGTTGATATTCCTCCATTTTGAGATTGATTGTTTGCACCAAATTATGGTTCAAGCAAAAGGGAAAAAAAAAATAAAATTCACACACCTCCCTTGATTGCCAACCCATTTTACATGTGAAGGCAAGCACATCAGCTGGTGACTCCCGATTCAAGTTGATAAGCCATTTTATTGGAATGGGGTTTGCTGAAGCACTGGTCTCAAAGGCTATTGAGGAAAATGGTAACATAGGTTTTGTGCATTTGAAGTTTGATTTTTTTGAGACGAAACTGGCTTTTCTTTGATTTTATATTTTTTTCCTTATTATCGTGCAGGAGGAGGAGATACTGAATCAATACTAAACACCCTTCTTACATACTCAGTGAGTGATATCTTCTTACCCACGCAACTAATGTGAATTTTCCACAATGGTCAAAAAGTGTTCCTTTCCAACACTTGCGCATCAGTGAATGAACATCCTTTAAAACTTGTTCTTTAATGTCTACAATAGATACTTCAACCATAAAAATGATGGCTTCATGAGGGTTATATGCATACATCGTCTAAAGAATTTCTTTTCTCTGTTGTGTAATAAATTAATTTAGTATTAACGAAGTGGAAACATAGATTCATTTCATGGTTTTCATTTTTAAACACTTTAAATGATAAATTTTCTGTGGGCTCATGTTTTTTCAGTTTTAGGACATGAGCATTATTTTTTCAGTACATACTTTGAAGTACTTTTGGCAGTAAGAGATTATGATGAAATCCACAATATCGAGTAAAGGAATAAAACATGGAGATTAGAGTCAGGAGATGCTTATTTTTTATTAACCCCAAAAAGCAGTACTGTAGATATTTTAGTTCATTGTATTTCTTTCAAAACATCCTTGTGAAACTCAGCACCTGTAATTTACATCTTGTTTTGCAGACTCTTGAAGATTCTCCTAAGGAGGAGAAACAATTGAGCACAAATTCTGATCTAAGCTCTTCCGATTACAATGAAAACCTTGTGAATGAGCTCTCAGACTTGGACAGCTGTTCTGATAATGATTTAGAAGTATGTAATTCTTATTCAATATATAAATTGCTGATGTGTTTAGGTGTAAGTATCATAATAATTTATGCAGTTTCTTTTGTTTTATTTCAACTATTTCTTGGCCGTATGATATTGTGTTATTTACCATTTCAAAGTTGACTGAAAGGATTTTCCCTTGCATTTCTTATTTTAGCCTGTGTAGGTTTTATTATTTACTCAAATGGAATATTAACTGTGGAAGTTTCACATTTGTGAAGAAATACCCTTTGCAGGACAATCCTCATTCCATATCTGAGAAGCATAAAATGTTGTTATCACTGGAAAGCTCGGGATCTCTGTCTGAGAAAGATAGAAAATTGCTGGACTTAGCAAATATGGGATTTGCAGTGGAAGAGGCATCTATAGCCATGGAAAGATGCGGTGAGTGAAAAGAAGCTGCAATTGAATGTAGATATTTAACACTAGGACTGATGCATGTATGGAGAGTGGCATCCAAATATTCTAAGGCTGGAATACAAATAATTGAGTGGAATTTCACACTTTTGGACATCATTAAACTCCATTTTTGCTGTCATTATTTCAGGTCCTAATGAATCAGTATCTGTTTTGACTGATTTTATTTGCGCTGCTCAATTGTCAAGAGAAGAAAACTGTCATTTAGAAGATGACCTCAAGGTTAACTTTCTCCCATTTATCTATTGCTGCATATGCCCTAGATATTGATTGGAATCACCCGATTCACTTTATGTTGTGTCTGCACAGGCTAGGTTTATATGTAATGGAAGCAGCAAAAACAAAAAGAGGAAATTGCATGAGATGCGCAGAAAGAATGAAATGGCTGAGGAGACGATTCGTCTCCCTAATCCGATGATAGGGTTCGGTATACCTTCTATGCAGCCAGAGAAAGTTGATCGTTTCATACCAGAATCTGAGAGAGGTCCGCCATATTTCTACTATGAAAACGTTGCTCTTGCTCCCAAGGGCGTGTGGGACACCATATCCCGTTTTCTCTACGAGATTGAGCCGGAGTTTGTTGATTCCAAGTATTTCTCCGCCTGTGCAAGGAAAAGAGGATACATCCACAATCTACCCATTGAAAATCGATTTCCTCTAATCCCCATCCCTCCTCTCACCATTCACCAAGCATTTCCATTGTCGAAAAGATGGTGGCCCACATGGGACACTCGTGAGAAATTGAACTGCATACAAACAGCTATTGCAAGTGCAAAGCTCACTGAGAGAATCCGCAGTGCTCTTGAGAGGTATGATGGCGATCCACCCGAATCAGTGCAGAAGTATGTCATGGAACAGTCTCGGAAATGGAACTTGGTCTGGGTAGGGCGTAATAAAGTTGCGCCTCTAGAGCCGGATGAAATGGAAATGTTATTAGGCTTCCCGAAAAACCACACTAGAGGAGGTGGTATAAGCAGGACCGACAGATACAAATCCCTTGGCAACTCCTTTCAGGTCAGCACTTTCTATTCAACCATTTTGAAGGGGATTATAACTTAGCAAAGATGTCCGATTATTTATTCAGATATGTATCGTAATTGTTACCTACTTGGATTTGAACATAGGTGGACACTGTGGCTTACCATCTGTCTGTCCTCAAGGACATGTACCCGAATGGCATAAACCTCTTATCCCTCTTCTCCGGAATTGGCGGAGGCGAGGTTGCACTCCATCGGCTCGGGATCAAACTGAAGAATGTAGTCTCGGTGGAGAAATCGAAAGTGAACCGAGACATTGTGAGGAGCTGGTGGGAACAGACGAACCAGACAGGTACTTTGATCGACTTTGATGATGTGCAGCAGGTGGACGACGAGAGATTGGAGCAGCTGATCGACACCATTGATGGCTTCGATCTGATCGTGGGAGGGAGCCCTTGCAACAACCTGGCGGGGAGCAATAGGGTGAGCCGCGACGGACTGGAGGGCAAAGAATCGTCGCTGTTCTTTGAGTATGTTAGGATATTGAATTCCGTCAAGAGCATAATGCGCTCGAGGCGACGCAGCCGCTGATGGATGATCTTAACGGCTAGCTAGCTAGCTAACAACTACTGTCCATTTTTTTTTTTTTTTTTTTGCTTTGGCACCTTTTTTTTTTTTTTTTTTTTGTCTTTTTAGAAGCATCGGCAAGGCAATTTGAACTGAAGTAGATGATGATCTGATTTGATTTGAAATTCTGACGTTGTTCATATTACTATATGATAATATTGACTCAACCCAAAGCTTGGCTCTCTTTGAATGCATGCCCATTTCATCCTTATGCCTTATAAAGTTATTATGGTATGTCTGGCTTTGACATATAGATTTGGCTTTTAAATTATAAGGAAATGTATTTTAAACTATCAATGTGTTCTTTTGAGAATTTTTATCTATGATTTTTACTATTATATCATTTGCTTTCCCTTGAGAAACAAGAACACACTGTAAGTTTAAGATAATTTTTAAAATAAGGTATTTTGTGACTTTTAAAAATTACGGGTGCGTTTCTACGGGGTTTTTGAGAAAAATTGGGTTTGGGTTTGATTTTTATTTTAATTTGAGTTTGATTTTTATTTGAATTTTGAGTTGAATTTGAGTTTATGTGTTTGTTTTGTATTTAAGTTTGAGTTGAGTTCGGAGAGTTTTGATGTGTATTGATTCGATGATTATGAATATAATAATATAAATGTGTATTAATTTGTATAATTTAATTATACATTTATATCATACCTACATATAAATATTTCAAAATTTTTATTTATTTGTATTATAAAACTTTTTATTTTTTATTTTAAAAAAATGACATATATATTTTATTAAATTATAATTATTATAATTGCTTTTATATTTATAATTAAAAAAAAAAAAAAAAAACAGTCCCCCAAAACCTCAAACATTGCACAGTAATCCGCAGCTGGAAAAACACACGCTATATATGTGGAAGGCAAAACTGCTTATATCCCTATGTGGTTTGGAAATTCGGCGTCGTTTCCCCCTATACTTTAAAAACAGCGTAGTACTCCCTTGTGTTTTCAAAAATTTTGCGCCTAACCCCCAAACAGCAAAAGTTAACAGAAGGTGGAATACACTCGTGGAGTAAGCGAGTAGACTTGCTGTTGTTTCTCTTATACTACCCAAATTCCCTAATTTACCCTTCCACTCCCATTAAGTACAACCATTTGCTATCAATCGATCTAACACAACTGAAGCAAACCCAGAACACTCCTAATCCCCTCCTCGACGCTGGTTAACCACTGATTTCCAATTTTTAGGTAGGTGTTTGCAAAATAGATGTGATGTTTTCGTTTCCACCTTCTTCCTTGGCTTCGTTTCTTCCTTGATTTTTTTTTTTCATGTGTTTTTCGACATCAGAATATGTTTTCGGTTATGGTGAATGTTGTTTCTGCCTTGATGAAATTTTTCGAATATGGCTATCTTCTTTGTAGTGGCCAAAATTGGTATCTTAAATGACTATTCTTTGAATCGAGTTAGAATATATATATTTTTTTTCTGATATATGCCATAATGTCTTCGATCCTGTTTGTAATTTTGAGATTTTTTAATTTGTAGTGAACTGTGTGCATTCATCTTGATACAGAAAATTTTATAGTTTTCTGTTGAATGATTTTTCCAATATGCAGATGTCTACATGTAGTAGTAATTCTCACGCGAAAAGAAAAAATGAGTTTTGAGTTGAGGTATAAATGTCCAAAGTGCAAATGCAGTGTACTTGTTGCAATACGTGTGGTTGGTCCATCGAAAGAGACTGAAGGTAGATTATTCTGCAACTGTCGGATGGGGGTTTGTGAATTTTTTTCGTTGGATGGAACCTCTCAACATAAGCCACCAGGATCATGAAATGCACGCGGATACTAAAGCCGACTCTTCCGTGTGTTTAATTGATGAGTTCAAGGAGATTAAGATGGTGAACGAGCAGATCGTTTCCGAGTTGAAGGTGTTGCAACGCTATTTGGAAAACATCATGACGGTTTTTTTTTTTTTTTTGTTTTTATTGTAATTGTGTTATTTAAATTATCACTTTAAACAGCCTATTGTTGCTTGTCGGGGGGTGTGGTTTTTAAATTACTTGTGTTGTTCTTGTGGTTGTTGTATTTTAGAAGGTGTAGTGCTCGTTGGTATTCCAATGTGTGTATTTGATGCGTGTTTCTATTGTATTAGTAACCATTCCCTTCCAATTATTGTCAAGTACTAGATTGGATTTTGGCCGTTTCTTGTCGTAGTAAGTGTACATTCGTCGAAGCTATGACCTTAATACACTTCCCTGCTATCAACAATAGTAGCCCACGGAAAAAGCAGTCTTTACAAACATATTTCCATCAATGTTTGATTAAAAACGCATCCTAAAACAATAGTAATACCTTACCATTTCCATGCCGTGCGCATCCTAAAACAATATTAATACCTTACTACTTCCATGTTGTGCGGAACCAACAAACAAAAGCAAATCAACCAAGTCGCTAACACAGAAACACCACAGTACATGCAGTTTTAATAACAAAAGTAACGCTGAACAATCCCAAGTTCATTACGCATTTACGAACCACCACTCCGACGGCTGTGTGGAGTTTTCGAGAATGGAACTGATTTCAAGAGCGATGCCAGGGACGCCTCATGGAAGATCTTGTTGGCTGGTTGCCTTTGTCTCCGGAAGCTGTTTCTCCTTGATTGCTAAAATGCAAACAAATATAATGAAAACTGGTACATTAAACTGAACTTTTGGAGTGTCACGAGATAAGTACCTGTTGTGGTTGTGTTTAAGTCCCTAAGGTTCTGCGATCATTTGTCGAATCTCTATTAGGCGTGGCATGTTCCTTTGATCAATTATTAGCAGTCAACAGAATCCATCAGAAAGTAAGATAAAGTTCATGATAATCTAATTGAATGAGTTAATATACTACCTGACGAGGGGCTGGATCAACCGGCGTGCCATGACTACCTGTCCCAACTGCACTTGACTTCTGCGTAGGCACCTACGGCATATAACATGAACTAACACCCCTTCTTCATGTTAGTATTCTCAAGCGAATCGGGACGCGTTAGCCCCTACTTTCGGAGGGAATGAGACATTTTTGCATCGTCTTTTGTTATGTCCTTGTTGTAAACACTTGGAGCATGTGGTCGTCAACCCTTTCCGAGAGGCTTTTTCCGGGTTATTCTCGTCGTTTCCATATCGCCTCCTAGCTTTCTTTGGCCTTCGAGTGCGAACCTTTATTTTTGGAGGATCAACCGAGCTAAGGTTGCTTTCTTCATATTCGTGCATGCCAGGCACAGGGTTAACATGGTGGTTGTACACCCGTTCAAAAGTCTCCCTCTGGAAGCAGATATCCACGAAATCATCAACATTAAGGCGATGGTGATCGATGGCAGCGATGGCGTGGCAACAAGGGTACCCACAAATTTGAAACATCCCACATGTGCAAGTTCTATGCCAAAGCTGAACCACATGGTTTCGTTAATAATGTAGTACCTCGAAGTTTTCTCCACCACCCCACGATGCAAAACAATTTCTGGACTCAACCCGCTGCTTATCGATCTTCTTCACAATGTTGGGACAGACAACGCCAGTAAATTTTTCAACCCCCACCCGTTTCGTCTGTATTCTAACAATCAAATTGCGCCTTATCCACTCCCACATATCAACAATTGGGAGGTCTCTCACATCCATTATGTACCGGTTGAAGGACTTGCACATGTTGTTTACTAGCACATCACTTTTGGTTCTCTGCGAGAAATAAGCGCGGCACAAATGGTGCGGGGGAACTTCGCTCAACCATGCGTATGCCTCTTTTCCAATATCGTTCACCGAATCATACTTTCGGATATCTCTCATAATCTTCTCGTGCTCCTTGACACTATACGTCGAAGCAGCCGACCAAAAATACATCTTTAGTGCAAGCCCCTTAAATCGAACTTTAAAATTATTATACTTGTGACGGACACAGAACCTGTGCTCTGCACGCGGTGCCTGAACAGATATCGCCTCACCCAGCCCTTTCTGTCTGTCTGTTTGATATAAAACTCCATTCACCATTCCTGCAATCGCCTAAATCGCGCAGCAAACGCTCCAAAAACCGCAGTTACTTTTGTACGTTCATTTTTTAAGAAAAAAATATCCCAGCCTTTGCACACCGACCAATCCCTCAATGCCTTATTGTACTTCTCGCGGCTTTCAATTTTTAACCCAACTTTTAAATCAACACAACCTAGATCCCGATCCTCGTTCCATTCATGGTACATGGGGGCCGAAACATGGTCTGTCCGAGGGGGCATCCTTAGACAGCCCTCGTTATCTCTGTCCGCATCGCTAAACCAGCCCTCTGTCACCCGTGATGGGGCCGTGAACCCACCTTCCCGCTCGTCTTCAAATCCCTCAGAATCACCCTCATGTTCGGGCCGATCATCATCCTCCCCATGCAATCGGTGAATCTCCTCTTCAAGTCCCCCAAACTCAGGCGCATCTCCGGGCTCGTCATCATCTTCTTCGCCGGATGTGATGCCATCCCAACATTTGCTATCGTCCCTTGTTGGTCCACTGAAATCTCCCTCCAACACATCATCCTCGTCCGATTGCTCTTCCACAGCTGTGCCACTTCTCTCATCACTGTTGAACCTTTTATCCTGCTCACCATCTCCTTCGTCGAATCCACTATCGTATGCTTCGTCCAAACAATCACGTTCATCAAAATGATAACCGGACTCATATTGTTCCCATTCGTTTCTACCTGGTGTAAAGCCGAAAGTATATTCCGCACCCCGCTATTGGGCCCTTCCTGCACCCATAATGTCATCATTATAATATGTCCACACCAGTTCGTCCACACCAAGATGTCCTAGTCCACCCCCCCATATGAATCTTCATCGTTGTCATCGTAATTCCATGCCGGCGGTCCACTACCACGGTCACCACCACACTTCTCGTCCATTCCATCATCCCCCTCATCGTTAGAGTCCTCCCCTTCGACATTCTCATCGACATCTTCATCCATTTCCTCATTTTCTTCAAACCCACTATAATCTTGAGCTTCCCCACCATCCATTTCCGATAACTCAGTGTCTGAATCTAACTCGTCAACTGTTTCAATTACTCGTTTACCTTTGGCATTGTACATCTTATCGTTCGGATCAAACCCCCCAGTCATATTCTCTTAACCAAACCAAAACACCCGGGTTGTCATCCAATGCGTTTTCGGACTCTGAAGATGCAAGATTAATAACCACAGTACCTGAGGGAATTTGAAAATGACACGAGCTGTTATCTCCATGCCAGCAAATGAGAGGCACTTCCTTTTCCAATCCTATTTTGCGCAAGTCCCTATTGCAAGTCTTGATGGGCATGTCAACGTCTTCTACGTAAATGTGTATATGTTTCTCCTCATAATGCTCGCGAAACATTTCCAAGACATCCTCGTTGGTCTTCATAAGGAAGACAAAGTTAGTGCTGAATCCGCATGGCACCTCTTTCGATGTGTGATACATGCGAACCGAAAGACATTTTCCACCAGCGCGTCCATACATATCCAACGGAGTCCGATAATAAATTATGTCCTTGTCGATGTTTTTAAACAATACTTTTTGACCACCTACATATGGATGGCCTGGACTTTCCATTTCAAAATATCCACCCACCCACCCACATGTACATGTCAACCTTGTTGTCTTCGTCCATAGGTTCGCGAACAACAAAAACCTGCACGTGGGGCAACCAAAAATACACTTCAATAATCAACTCACCAACTTTTTGACATAAATAATCTAAACAAAGTGAAGCATAGGTGGTCCACCCCACCCTCAAACACTATCCAACAACAACCAGACAAAAAACAAATGTTCAATCAACATAATCAATTAATTTCGTAATTGTACGCAACTAGTGACAGGGTTTTCGGGTCACCATAGAATATGTATAAAAAGCATAACAGATGTACAAGGTGTACCCCCAATTCCACTTCTATGACAAATCGATGAACTTCTCAATCCGAAATTGTCCAAAACCGTAGAAAAATACTCAAAAGTCCTAACCGTAGAAAAAGAAAAACGCCGAAAAGCCCTAACCCTAATACAAAAGTCATTCAAATCGGTCGAACTCGGTGACTTACAAGAATTTGGGTTCGTTGCCACCCTTTTCTATGACAAACCGATGAACTTTTTGATGAGAACGCCGCCGTTGGACCAGTGTTCAAACCTGTAATCGATTTTCTCGTAGATGGAAGAAGAACTTCGAGTCGGGGATAGTGATGGGGAAGAGGTGTGGGTAGAGAGGGATAGGAGAGAAGCGAGGGAAAGAGAAGTGATAGAGAAGTGTTAAATGAGTTATTTAAAGGAAGGGTATAACGGTTCATTACAAAAGAAATTTAACATCGTTAGATCAAATTGATCAAAGTGGAAAATGTGCGAAGTTTTTGAAAATACAAGAAAGTACTGCATAGTTTTTAAAGTATAGGGGAAAACGACCCGAAATTTCCATAAGCAGTCTCGCCTATATAGAATTTATGTCATTTTATCTAGGGATTTCAAGGAGGTGCTGGTGTTCTTGATAATAAAATTGTTTGAAAGAATTTTTTTTTGAAAAAAAATCTAAACAGTGGTAAATTTTTTACACACCTTTTATCATTTGAAGTTTTTGAAATTAAACAGTGGTAAATTTTTTACAATCCATGATCAATTTATATTTAAAATAACAATACAATAGTCTGATGAGGCAGAGGCAGAGGCAGAGGCAGAGGCACTAGTAATTTTTCTATTTGGCATTCCCTTCCCTTCCTCCATCGTTATTCTGTCTGCTTCTTTTCTCTCCAACACAGCCATTTCCCTTCCCTTCCCCATTCCTCTATGTTTTCTCGGAAACGGTTCGTCTCTCTCTCTCTCCCTTTCTCCGACTGAAGATATTGTCTCAGCCAAAGCGGTTCGGAAGAGGTGCATTTCTGTTCCGGAAAAAATTGGTGGTGACGATCGTTTCTTTAACCCTAATTGCCCCATGTTGTTCTTACATTCTAAACCGTGGATTTTCATATTCTGTAGATCCGATCGAGTGTATGACTTATTATGCCATTTTCGCGACAGCATTTACGACACATTAATTTTTTAGGGTTTATTTCGTGATTTGGCAGTGACAACTTTTGCACCTTTCGTGCCAGTGTTGATTTGCGAATGTCTAACTGTATACACCTTTTTCCCCCTTTCAAGTGTTCTTTTTTTCTTTTTTCCCAGATTGTGGATGATAACTTTGATTAAGTGTGTGTGTTTAGTAATTGCTGCTACAGCATGCAATAGCTCAACAATTTATCTCATGCATTCTTGTTTTTCAACATTTGTGTGGAAAAGTTTTTCCATTTTGAAAACATTATGCAACCACTCTACTAAAAAAAGCAAAAACAATTTCAAATGCATAGAAACCTAAAGCGCCAAAAACATCATAGAAGAACACCGTAACACATCCGTAGCTTTTTCCCTTCTCCCCAACTTATTACATTTCTATTATGCAATTCAAGTCTCACATTTCACAAGATTTTCTTTTGATTGCGTGTTATTGCTTGTATTCTTTTGACAGTGAATGTAATTGTTATGTGCGATATTAGCTTTTGACTGTAGCTCTCTTCAGTCTCTTAATGTCTAATGCTTTCTCCTCTGTTTTGTAAGCTAAGGGGAAGCTTTGGTATGGCGGCGGCAACAGCTTCCTCATCATCTGCTCGTGTAAGATATGCACCAGATGACCCCACCCTCCCCAAACCATGGAGAGGACTAGTTGATAGTAACACAGGATACCTTTACTTCTGGAATCCAGAGACCAAAGTAACCCAATATGAGAGGCCTGTTGCACCTTCTGAAGCAAGCTCTGTTCCACCTCAAGAATCTTTGCCTGAACAACAGCCCTCAGGACACTGCAGTGACAAGGATGGTGCAAATGCATGTATCAAAGTCGAGGACAATGGCTCGGATACAATTGCATCTGGAGTAGGATTGGAAACCTGTCAGGTATCTTAAGCAGCTTTTCCTAAATATCCTGGTTTTTTATTTTTTATTTTTATCTTTTTCCATAAAATGGATGGTTGTCTTTGGAAAAAAAAAAAGTGTTCTTGTATAATATATATGTTCAATTTGCAGAGGAAAAATACATACTGTTATTAACATAATACCAATGCTCTAGTTATATACTTACAAAAGTTATGGTTTATTTATTTATTATATATTCTTACATTTGGAGATGCAATGTAATTGCAACAAGTTCATTATTAAATATGTAATGCTGCATAAATATTTGTCTCTCTATATTTTTATGCAGATCATATGTTAAAGTTTCTGTTTTTCTGCTTTGTGATAGACTTCAAGTGGAGGGCCAGATTATCCACAGAATACCCCAGATGTGAAGACAAATGCTTCATGTGAACTCTATGCAACTAAGGGTGTGGAGTCTGGTTCGTCTGTGGAGTCTTACCGCCGTCAACATGAAATTACTGTTACAGTAAGCATTCGTATTATTCCATTTATAATATAAAGTCCTGTTATTTGTGTGCTTTAAACTTCTTGAAGATGATGCATGTCGTATGTATGGACTATAGGGGTATATTTTTACACCCAAGGCCAAAGGGCCTATGGGGGCTCACATTTGAAAACTTGTAGTGGAAAAAACCCAAAGATAGTGTGTTTTGGGGATATTGAAAATTAGAATTGAAATATGTATTGATGTGATTTAAGTAGGTGTTAAATGTGATATTTTGTATATGAAATACACTTTGGACATAATATTTTAAATGAAAATAAAGTGTTTGATATCTTTGTTTTAGGAAGAAAAAATATTCTACTGTTTATGATATGGTTGAAAACTAAGTGAAAACACCACCTAACACACTGTACCTTGCTAGTGTTGTTTGGTCTGTGAATTTTGCATCATGGTTTTGCATTTCTAGTATTATCTTGGAATCTCACATTTTCCGTGGTGGTCAATTGTCAAACTGTCATGATGTTTGCCCATTGATGTTTACCCATTGATCTAATGAGGTCATTATTATAATTTTGTTGTAAAAAAATTGAGCTCGGATAATAGTACATTATTGGAATGCAGTAATTTCATTGTGCAGCATGCTCTTATTGCTAAATGCTAAATATATTTTCCTTTCTGCAAGCTAACCCTTGCCTTCTTTTCCCTTCATACTTCGTTACGATTGTCATTTCTGGTATATTATTTTCTGATTATGCTTTTTATGTTGGTATGTAATCAATTTGTAGGGAGCTAATGTTCCCCAACCATTCATTTCGTTTCAAGCCACTGGTTTTCCTGCAGAGATTTTAAGGGAGGTATGCTCAACATATCTTTGTGTTAAATCATTGTTGAATTGATCTGTTAAAGTAACCACTTGAGGCCCTGAGGAGATTAATAATACATGCTCCAGTGTTTCAACATGTACTTGGTGTCGATGCATATGATTTTTCTTTAAAAAAAGGAGCCAAATGACATACATATCATTGTCATTGTCCCTTTAAGGATTTAATTAAGTACTTGCATTATCGGTGTAACAATTAATGAGAGGAGCCTAGGGAACTATCCTGGATCCACCAGGGATTCCCCTCAAGTCAGTGTTCTTTTTCTCCTATCAGAGTAAGAGGGGCATGGCCGCATGGTCTAATGCTTAATTCATTGGAGTGACAATGCTATTTTCCTTGGACATGCATATTTCAGAATTAAGTAGTTGATATATTTAAAATGTTCTTATAATGTTCATTTCAACCCTTTTTCCCAGATGCAATGCGCTGGTTTTGCTGCTCCGACCCCAATACAGGCACAATCATGGCCGATTGCTCTTCGAGGCCGTGATATTGTAGCCATTGCCAAGACAGGTTCTGGAAAAACTCTGGGCTACTTGATTCCTGGTTTTCTTCATTTGAAAAAAAGGAACAGTAATCCAAAGTTAGGTCCAACTGTTTTGGTGTTGTCTCCAACAAGAGAATTGGCTACACAGATACAAGATGAAGCCATGAAGTTTGGAAAAACATCCAAAATTTCTTGTACGGTATGAATTTGAGATTTCCTTCCACAGTTTGTTGGAAATTTTGATGTTATACAATAGTCATATAATTTTTTCTGTGAAGCAGAGCTGCATATGTTCAATCTTCATCTCCATTTGTCTTTTTCCTTTTAAGTCAAATATTTTTCTCCATTCTTTGTTGAATATAAAAACAGTTAAGCCATGTGTACATGTGAGTTTAGTCATCTTTCCTGTTGCTGATGTTATTTTGATCTTTGTATTCCAAGTGTTTATATGGAGGAGCACCTAAAGGTCCTCAATTGAAAGATCTAGATAGAGGTGTAAATATTGTGGTGGCTACTCCTGGGCGATTAAATGATATTATGGAGATGAGGCGAGTTAGCCTCCATCAAGTGTCATATTTGGTATTGGACGAGGCAGATAGGATGCTTGACATGGGTTTTGAGCCACAGATAAGGAAAATTGTGAAGGAGGTGCCTTCTTCGAGGCAAACCCTGATGTATACAGCAACATGGCCAAAGGAGGTGCGTCGAATCGCTGCAGATCTACTGTCTAATCCTGTTCAGGTCAACATAGGAAATGTGGATGAACTTGCTGCAAACAAGTCAATAACCCAGGTTGCTGTCAGTTATATTTCAATTTTGGCTATCTAACATCTTTGGTAGAGTTAACATACTTTGTACTTTTATCTTTATGTTGTAGTATGTTGAAGTTTTATCACCAATGGATAAACGCCGGCGCTTGGAGCAGATATTGAGATCTCAAGAACCAGGGTCGAAGATAATAATTTTTTGCTCCACAAAGAAAATGTGCGATCATCTGTCAGATAATTTGACCAGGCAATTCGGAGCTGCTGCTATTCATGGAGACAAATGTCAAAGTGAGAGGGAGCACATATTGAATCAGTTCCGTACGGGAAGGTCACCAGTGCTTGTAGCCACTGATGTTGCTGCTCGTGGACTGGATGTTAAGGATATCAGGTTCGTGATTTTCACTCTTCCCGAGGATTATCAGTAAAAGGTTGTCTGCAGCCAGATTTCAATTATTGAGAACACACATTCATCGTTTTACATAAACATGCCGTTACTGGAAAACAATTACATTTCTTGTGCTTAGTGTTTGATTTTTTTTTCTTGATAATATGATCTTATTTCATAGTCTATCTTGTTACAGGGTGGTGATAAACTATGACTTTCCAACAGGAATAGAGGACTATGTACACCGAATTGGTAGAACTGGCCGGGCAGGTGCTACTGGACTTGCATACACATTTTTCTGCAGCAATGATGAAAGACATGCATCAGATCTAATCAAACTACTGGAACGAGCTGATCAAAATGTCCCTGCTGAACTTCGTGACATAATTTCACGTGGAGGTGGCATAGGAAGGGGAGGACCCCGTAGGTGGAGCTCTTCTGGATATGATGGAGGCCATAGTGGAAACTATAATTCTTCATTCAGTGGAAAGTCTGGGGGTTGGGGGGCGCCATCTTCTTCAGATAGGGATGTCGGGGATCATGACAACAATGAGCAGCATAACAGGTAGTATATTGCTTTTTTGGCTTTACCCTATGCTTTTATTAGGCATACCTGATTTTTGCGCAGTTTGGTTCAAGCATTTTTCTCCTTTTCATATAACGGCCATTATTTCAGTTCCTTTGGAAACAACACCGATGCCTCTGGAAGCGCCCCGTACAAAAGTTTCCATGAAAGCATGATGGCTGCTAGAAGCACCAGAAGTAATAACCAAAGTTGCAGCACCATAAGCCCTGCTCGGAATTCAGGGTGGGGTGAAAACCATGGAAGAGATCGCAGCCGTAGTCCTAGCCCAGAGAGATTTGGCGGACCTCCCCCAGTGCGACGCAGTTTTCATGAAACTATGATGCTGCAGCAGCAGCAGGCTCGGCCAGCCAACCAAATCCAACAGGAAGCTGATACTGATGGAGTTGGAGGATCATATCATAAATCGTCTACAGAAAAAGTGGGTGAAGAATTTGCAGGTGGGTCGAACTCAAACTCCTGAAGTGCCCAAGTTGATGCTGTAATTGTTGAAGAGGACAATCCATGAAGAAACAAACCGGTTTGTTTGTTGCATCTTTTTGGCATATTGTTACAGATAGTTGAGCTTTTGGCATGTAGCAAAAACATCATCCTCTACTAAAATACATACTTATTGTGGTAGAGATATGTGGATCGATCAATTCCCGGAAGCAGTAGAATGGAGTTAATGGACTCAGTTGGATGTTTTGTTAGTTAGTTAGTTAAGGCTATGGTATGGTTGGATAAGGGTACTTGTACTACTAACTATGTTTTGAAATGCTTTTGGCATGATGGTTTAGTCTTTCTTTTGTTCATTTTCTTTGAGGATGTTCTGGATAAACTTCTTAATAATAATCTACAAACTAATTTGACAAGGCTAGGCTAGATTAACTATGTATGACAAATAAAATCGGAGTCAACACCATACGCCATCAGATCAGGTCATCTCTACATGATGGTTTGTTTTTATAATCATCAGAAAATTACAAACATTTCTTTCCTTGTTTCATTACAATAATGAATAGCTGCCTCACTCACTAGCTTCCTATCCAAATTTAGTTACTTGCTACTATATGAATGATTGATTGATAGAAATTGGTAAAGAATGGCATGGTCAATTAGCTTTTGGTTTGTTGATCCTCTTTGCTTTTGAATACAAGAATACTCCACTAACAGCCAGAGCAGTACCTACCAATACCAACTCACAATATTAGTAAAAACAACACTTGTTACTAATACTAATAGCACACAAAACAACAAGAGACTGTGTGAACAAACTAACACACAATATGTTAACATAATAATACAAATATAAGCACAAGCACGTACCAACGGCGTTGACAGGCGACACAGGTGTCCGAAAGAAGATTATCGAGGATACGATGACCACTACTCTCTTCACACTGTTTCCTACCGCATGTGTCACTGGTGATACCATTTGCAGAATCATATACGAAACCTGCTCGGAGGACCTCAAATAAGTCTAAAACAGAGCAAAGAAGCTATCTATATGTTTGAATTGATACAATTTTCATCTAACAAATTAAACAATCTTACTACCTGTTGGTATGTGTGGAAGCAGAGACCCGATAAAACAGCTCTCAAACAAACCTCTTTTATATTCAAACCTTGGCTAGCCTGAAACCACAAGATCGATGGATCATACATAATACTACTTACTATTCAGAACCCTTTATTTTTGTTTTTTGTTTTTTTGAAGATGAGGCTACTCCATATGTTACTTACAGCATTTTGCAAGTATGAAGGACTGAACTTGACGCCTTCAAGAAGAATGGCAGTGGGCACCAGAAGTAAAAACGACGTAATGGTCATAATGGAGAAGAGGTTGATGTTATCTAATGTTCCCTGGAAGGAAAAGAAAGGGTAACTCAAATAGGATTTTACTAAACTTGAATTTTCACATGGATTGATGATAGTTGACAGAAATAAACATTTTTTACATCATACCTCCTTCTTAACCATCAACTTCTTGCTGAATACATTTCGTGTTTGGTTGGTAAGGTTAGAAGCCATAGCCGTGCCGAATCCTATCCTGCAAAAAGAAACCATTATCCATCAGGTGACATACACTTGTCTGAATCGAAAGATAGTCCCTTTGTGTTGATCAGGTGTTCTGTACCAGTTGAAAGATGCCTCGGTGAATGATGCCAAAGCCACGCCACCGACAATGGGGACGAGAGAAGAAACAACCCAGATTGATGGCCTCTGTGTGATCAGACTGAAAGTAAATTTGCATATATGTGTTGATAGAGAGTTATGTGAAATTTTACCACTTCACAAATTGGGCTTAGCAGAATCCATATGTGTATATATATATATATATATATATGTAAATATATGAAATGAAAGTAGTTTCAATACCTGACCAAAAAACAAAGCAGAGAGCAAGACAGTGAAGAAAGGTTCCATAGCCTTGATTGTGTGTGTGAATGAAACAGCAACTTTTCCGAGGCTGATGTTTGTTAGAAGGTTTCCAATTGTGTGCCCAATGCCAAGCAGAAAGATTGCTAAAAACTATACATACATACATACATACATACATACAAACATCCATTTCAAGAATCAAACAAACAAACCCTGAAGAAGAGAGAAAAGAATTAATTGATGATGATGATGATGACCTGAGATTTTTGAATATTAGGCTTGGGATGAAGATTGAATCCCCACATCAAAAGAATCAGCACTGTCCCACATCCAAACTGAAACGCCGTTACCGTTGCAGGGTATGGGTAAGCCTTCAGAACCTGTATTTATTTATTTATTTATTTGTTTGTTTATTATACCAAATACAGCAGCATCATAAATTGCAACCCAGACAACATAGAATAATAGTACTAAAAAAGTTGTGGTCTTTAGTATCACGTGTAACTTACTTCCAAAGGAAGAAGAAGGAAGAAAGGGGAAAATGATTAAATTTGAGCATGTGAAAGAAACACAAGAAATGGGAAATGAGAGTTGCCTGTTTGTTGAAGATGTTGAAGTATATATTCAGCAAATACCAGACAAGAAACATGAATCCAAGCTGCAAATATCTTCTTCCTTCTTTGGCATTTGGAACAGGAGCAGGAGCAGGAACAGCAGCACCTGATCTCACTCTCATCGATTCACAGCCCCTCCTCCTGCCAGTGCCCACAAACTTAAATGCTGCCATGGATCTGGTGATTGATGTTCTTGAACACAAACAAAACCGCCCATGACCACTCTGAGAAGAAGAAGAAGAAGAAGTGCAGGAGGAAGAAGAAGGACAGAAGAAGAAAGCAGTGTTGAATCTTGAAGAAGAAGAAGAAGAAGAAGAGGGGTGTTTCAAAAATGGTTTTGTAGGGCAGAGAGCCATTGGATAGCTCCCCATTTTCGTCCCTCCTTCCCAATTTCTTTGCTTTGCTTTGCTTTTCTGCAAGTTTATTAATTTCCCAAGAAGCCCTCCCTCCCACCTTCCTTCCCACTTTAGTATATCTATTTATGTATGTATGTATGTATGTAGGGCCTGGGCATAATCCTAAAACTAGAAGTGAATACTTATTTATGGAGAGCAGCGTGTGGTTTATATGGGTTTACCAAAAGCACATACATCACTATGATATACAAAACAAATAAAATAAAACAAAACAAACTTGGGAGTTGGGACAGCTTAATTTGTATAGGCCACAAAAACATTTATTAACAACTGGACGGACATCTCCCTCCGAAAGCTACCAATTCAAAACTTTAAGCACTTCTTACCGTAACATCATACATGCAATCTAATAATCTATATCTATATGTTGACAAAAATCTATAATCTCTATCTATATCTATATGTTGACAAATAAAAATAAAATAAAACCCAATCTATATATGTATTTTTGTAGGATATTATTAAATTAAATATCATATATATATATATATATGAAGAAAATAAATTTCTAATAAAATAAATATATGATATTTAATTATGCACATATGTTAATTTTTGTACAATGAATATCAATAAACAAATATTGTACAAATATTAGATGCATAACAAATATCAATAATAAATTTGACACTAAAATAAACAAATATTGTCAATAAATGAAGTATTATAATTAATATCTTTTCAAAAAGACAATGATATAAAAATTTTGGCAAAAAAAAAAAAAGGTGCACAATCAAATCCTTCGAAAATGGAAAACAACATCATATGGAAAATAAAATATTATAAAATTTTATTATTGATCAATTAGGAGTGCTACGTGGCATCATTAAAAAAGAAAGCCAATGTCACCCATCTCCTATAAATAAGGGTCATGGTCAATTCAGTTGACACACCGAAGTTACATCGAGGATTCAAGCAAATGGGTAAGTCTATTGTTCTTCGTGACATTCAAAGCGTTCTTTGTCGAAAGTCACTGATTTGGACAAATGATCCAATATTGATTGACGAATCGATTGAGTTAGCGTTCTTCGTTGTATGCTCAAGCCGGAGGAAGGATCAAAGCTCCAAAAAATCCATCAAAGTCAAGGAAGAGCATCAAAGTTTATCCTAAAGCTTGGTGTTCATCGCGTTCTTCACCAAATCATCAACTCGGCTCTCTTCGATCCAAAAGTCAAAGGGACACATTACCGAAAGTGAACCAAATTCACCTCATCAAAGATCAAAGCATCCGATCATCCAAATAAAACATCAAATCTAAAGTTGACAATCAAATCGTTCATACAGAGACCGAAGCCTTCCAAAAGGCCAGCAAAGCCAAACCAGATATCAAAGTCTTGGATCGTTCAAAGAAGATATCAAATCCAAAGTCGAATATCAAATCGCCCACACGGAGACCCAAAGCCCTCCAAAAGTCGGCAAAGCCAAATCAAATATCAAAACCGCGAATAAAAAAAAGACATCAAATCCAAAACTAAGGATCAAATTTTTCTGCACGGAGACCAAAGTCTTCCAAAATCCGGCAAACCAAACCAAATATCAAAACCTTGGATCGTCCAACAAACATCAAATCCAAAGCTATGGGTCAAATTCGACTATACAGAGAACAAAGCCCTTTAAAAGTTGGCAAAGCTAAACCAAAGATCAAAACTTCGGATCGTCCAAAGAAGACATCAAATCCAAAGCTGACGATCAAATTTTCCGCACGAAGACCAAAACCCTCCAAAAGCCAACAAAGGCAAACCTAAGATCAAAGTCTCGGATCGTCCAAAAAAGACATCAAATCTGAAGCCGACGATGAAATCGCCCACACGGAGATCAAAACCCTCCAAAGTCCGGTGAAGTCAAATCGCAAAACAAATTCCTTCATATCTACCAAATGGACATCAAATTCAAAATCGACGATCAAATCGCCGCGCGGAAATCAAAGTCCTCCAAAGGTCCAGTAAAGTCAAATCAAAGACCAAATTCTTTCGAATCAAAGAAGCTATTCAAATCTAAGTTGAAAAACAATTCGACCCGAAAAGAGAATTGGACCCAAATAGAAAATTAAACCAGCTCTAAATCCAAATTAAATATAATTTGTACAAAAATTTATATTTATTAAAAATAACATAATTTTTGTCCGATTGACAAAAATCAAATAAAAATAAAATAAAATGATTTGTATTGTTTGTTTGTTTGTTTACATCCACATATATTTTTTTAATACAATATTTTCTTGAACTGTACTTCCTGAATCAAAACACAGTCGACTTTCTTTTTCTTTTTGTCAGTCATATAAAATATGACTATTTTTTATTTTTAATAAATTTATTTATCGTAAATATATTTAATAAATATATATCAATTTAATTAAATTTTTGAGTGTTCTACTCAATACTTTTATATTTCTATTCATTTCTTCAACAAATAAATATTTTTATTTATATTCAAAACGTCTCGGTCCACTCAAAATTTATTTATTTTTATATCTTTTTTTAATAAATAAATATTTTATTTATATTTAAAATTTTTTATTTTTATAAAATTACAAGTTAATTATAAATATATTATTTATTTGTACTATATAAAAGTTTATTATCTATATTATTGTAGACACTAAAAATATATGTCTAAAATCAATTAAATATCATGTATTTTGGAAGAAAATAAAATTCCAATAAAATAAATATATGGTATTTAATTATGCACATATGTTAATTTTTGTACAATAAATATCAACCATTAATGCAAAATTTGCTTAAAATGGAAGATATCGTACAAATATTACGTGCATAAATAGAGCCATAATAAATTTGGCGGCAAAATAAATTAATCTTGTCAATAAAGGAAGTATATAAATTAATATCTTCCAAACAAGGCAATGATATAAAGATCTTGTCAATAAAGGAAGTATATAAATTAATATCTTCCAAAAAAGACAATGATATAAAGATTTTGGCGAAAAAGGAACTGCATAATCAAATCCGTCAAAAAATGGAAAACGGCATCCGATGAAAAAGGAAAGATTATAAAATTTTTCCATCCACGTGGCACTATCCGAAAAGGAAGCCAAGGCCACCCTCCCCTATAAATAGGAGCCTTGGCCAATTCATTTACACACCGAAGTTCATTTGAAAACTCGCGCAAGGGTAAGTCTCTCTAAACTCTCTGCAATGTTCTTCATTATTCTTCGTGTCCTTCGAAGCGTTCTTCGTCGAAAATTCACCGATTTGGACAAATGATCCAATATTGGTTGACGAATCGATGGAGTTAACGTTCTTCGTCGTATGTCCGAGCCGGATGAAGGATCAAATCTCTCAAAGCCATCGAGGAATCCATCAAAGCCAAGGAAGAGCCTCCAAAGTCGCTCCCAAAGCTTGAATATGTTCGTCGCGTTCTTCATAAAAGGCGCAAACCAGGCCCTCTTCGATCCAAAAGTCAAAGGGACACGCCGCCAAAAGCGTTATGGAGCACCAAATCCCTCCCTCAAAGATCAAATTCCGTCGGATCATCCAAAGGAGGCATCGATCCAAAGTTGACGATCAAAGTCGCCAACACGGATACCAAAGTTTCCTAAAAACCGACGAAGTCAAACCGAAGACCAAAGTCCCTTCGGATCAAAGAAGCCACCCAAATCCAAATTGGAAAAATGGATCTACCCGGAGAGAGAATCAAAGGATCCAAATAGAGAATAGGACCCGCATATATTAAATTAAATGTAATTTGTACGATTTTGTGTTTATAAAAAAATATAACACAATTTTTTTGTCTACAGATTTTTGGCACGCCCAGTGGGACATCTCTACCTTTCATCTCTCTTTCCGTCGAATTCTCAAACGATCAATGGCTTCCTACAAAATCAAGACTTCCAATGCTGTGTCGAAAGCTGCTGCTCTAGCCGCCACCGCCAAAGGAGTCGCTGCTACTACATCAAGAACCTCAAGTGCTTCAATGAATGCTGGAGTGATGACACGAAGTATGGCTAAAAGAGTACTGTCATTTTCCGAGGATGCACATCCGAAAATCACAGAGCAAAACTCACTCTATGAGGAGGACGAAAGCTTCAAGAGTACCTCCGCACCGGGCACCCCTCAAGAAGTTGCAACTCGTTCGACTGCATCGAGTTATGCCCCGGTGATGACCACGAACGCTTCAAACATAGAAGACCAACTTGTTGCACTGGCCAAAGTTGTTGAAGGGATGTCTCAACACATGCAGCAACAAGACAATGTCATCGCAAAACTGCTTGCAAAATTGGACAAGCCTGAACCAACCAACCAGAATGCTTCGGAGGCCCAAAATGAAGCAGAAACATCCATGGATCAACGCCACGGTAAAGAAAAAATGGCGGGACCAATGCCGTTTCAAACATCATCTGACTCTTTCATCCATCTATCCCAACTTGACGAGTATATCAAAGGAGCTCTCAAAAGGGAGTTTGAAGGAAGTTCAAGGCCAACAAATATGTATGCCAAGCCTTACACTTCAAGGATCGACGCCCTCAAGATGCCGTTGGGATATCAACCACCAAAGTTCCAACAATTTGATGGCAAAGGCAACCCAAAGCAGCATGTAGCACACTTCATGGAAACATGCAACAACGCTGGGACATACGGCGATCTTTTGGTAAAGCAGTTCGTACGGTCATTAAAAGGCAACGCCTTCGACTGGTATATCGACCTGGAGGCTGGTTCCATCGACAGTTGGGAGCAGTTGGAGTACGAGTTCTTGAACCGGTTCTACAGCACAAAAAGGACCGTCAGTATGACAGAACTCACCAATACTCGTCAATGGAAAGATGAACCAGCAATCGACTACATCAACCGCTGGAGGAGTTTGAGCTTGAACTGCAAAGACCGGTTGTCCGAGGCCTCCGGTATAGAGATGTGCGTCCAAGGAATGCACTGGGGGTTGAAATACATCCTGCAAGGGATCCGACCCCACACTTTCGAAGAACTTGCTACCCGCGCTCATGACATGGAGTTAAGTATGGCTTCAAGCGGGATGCACGGACCACCAGTTCAAGAATCTTCAAAAGCAAAAAGATACGAAAGATATGATGCCGCAAAGAAGGGGAAC